CAGTGCACACAACTTGTCCAGATTGCTTTTGTCCTCTAGCATTCCCACAAATGATTTGTTGTGATGTCTCCAGATGTGTGGACATTTTTTCCAAACAATACCGCACAACATTCGATTATCCATATATTCAATCCGGGATAGTATATTATGCAACAAGTGCGGTAGAGGTTTTGGGTTACATGCGAGTTTTTTTAATCAGAAAAGTCGAAACAGATTAGATATCGCAGATTTTTCGTAATTTCACATCATCTAAGCAAATTTCATATATGTAAGCACTTACCAAAAAAGTTAAGTTTTCGCTTTATGAGTTCATTGATATCGTAACAATAATTTGCATGGCGACAGGTATAACACTATTATTAATTTAGGTTTTTTCTGTTGTTCAAATATAATGAAATTCTGGGTAATTGTTTTTTTAATGGAGAATGTTGGGTAGTGGATTCGTATTCAACGCACTTTCTGGGGGTACAGAAAATCGAAAATCGAAAAATCGATCTTTTGGCATTCTTCAATGATGATGATACCTTTACAAAAATCGAGTACCGATCACATTTTTAAACATATTGATGGAAAATTACTGACTATGTACGGAATTATTTATTTATTAAATAATCGAAAAAATTTTACACACATATTATTAACAAGCTATATGCAATTATCCACTTGTTCCTACACCGTAATTCTTCTTTTTTGTTGGAAACTTCTCCGCCCAGTCACGCGCGGAATATTAGCAGCACTCCCCTCACTACTTTTCGTTTCTTCCCTTTTTTTTCCTCTTCTACATTTCTGCAGATCACCTGCACAGTAGTGGCAAATGAAGTACGGATGGGCTCGCGCTTCCGTGCGAAATCTGATTCTCAAACAAGTTCTGTAATATGTTGCCAAGACATCTGCCTTGTTTTTGAAACATTTTATCCAGAGCTGAAACTCTTGGGATATATTTTTTTCATGTATGGGATCGCGCCATTTGATGGCTTGAGATTTACCAGACATTATTTTAATTACAATTCCCAAAAATTCTGATTATTTTTAATACGAATTCCAATTATATTGGAAAGCTCAAGACATTTTTCAATCGAATTCGTATTGAAAATAATCAGAATTTTTCCGGAAATTCAGGTAAGCATAAATTAAATCTTCATCTATCTTTATTATTAAGCTGTTATTGTAGATATCTTCTGACTTTTCATCTTTATTGTAAATTTTAGGAAAATTCTTAATAAGATTAACCTGAATGAAAAAAATGGAAAAACTATTAAAAATTGCATAAATTTTTGGTGATTTGTTGGAATTCTTAAAAAGTTCACCGGGAATGTACAAAAATTATTTTATGCTGACTAAATTTCATTGAACAGCATGTTTCCGCGTCAATTTTATTAATCGTTTCTCAAAAATTTATAAAAAAAACTCAAAAAATGAAAAGATATTGGCTATAACTCCTTAAATCTACAGTTTATACTTCAATTTCACAAAGTTCCATTAAATCATGCGGGAAAGTCTGCATCTGCGAAATATGCATCAATGATAGTTGACACACACACACAATTACAATTGATATACACACATATATTTAGGCGAAAATGCTATAAACATATATTTGACAGTCCACGGAGAGAAAAATTCAATTAAGGAAAAAGTACATAAAGTTCAGTGAAAAAGTGCGTAACTTTCATAATTTTTACTGAATACTGTTTTGACTGGCAGATTACGGAATATAGGTATGTAATTTTTACTGGATTTTTCTCTACAAAAATGTCTTGAAATATCACCCTTGAGAGGAATATATTCTTTAAAACTTTCCTATCCGCCTGATAACATCAAATGTCTGAAAGGTGATTAAGTAGATCAATTATGTACGATTATAATACGATTCGATATAAGATGAATAAACATCAGCGCACACATTTACACGCATATATTTAGCATATATTTAACATTGGCACGAAATATATTTGCAACAAAAAATTCAAAAATGCGACACACATATTCCAACATACAATTACTAGCATACACATTTATTTGGTGAACCTCAGTTAAGGATGTTCTGCCAGTCTTTTGTTATTGTTCCTATTTTTCTGAGATATATTGAAAACTATCGATCAGATTGGGATATGAAAATATAGCGTACAGATATACGATATATAATTCGAGTAAAAAATTCCGTACATCACAGCCCAACAATTTGACCCGAAAATTTCCCTTCCCCAATTGACCAAATGATTCTGCCTGAATAACAGTACAATTACTTGGCAAAAGAGATTATTCCGACCATTGCAATTTCCAGTTGAGGAGAGTGAATGAAAGGATTTTTTCACATGTAAAATAATGACAATAAGGATCAAGATCAATTGCGGAAAAATCCAAAGACGGAAGAAAGAGGATGAAAAAAAAAAGATGAAGAGAGAGGTACGAGACATCTGTAAAAATTTGAGTGTCCATGTGGTGGGGGCTGTTGTGCTCCTTTGGCGTGAAAGAAAGGTGCAGATCTGGTTGGGATGGTATATACATAGGAGAAGGGAAGAGGAAAGAGGGAAGAAGCCGAAAAGATACGAAATAAGAAACTGGCACTGGGAGTCGGTGGTTGGTCTCTTGGGTGAGCCTGGGGATAGGAGTACAGCGGCAGATGTTCCAAGTTGTTGGCGCGTGCCCGCTGCCACTTGGCTGCGATCCCCAACCATCTGCCCCTACTCTACCCGCTTTTCTTCTTCTTATTCTTACTCCTCTTCTTTCAACTTAAAAAAAAACAACTCTCTATTGACGCTTCAAAACCTCATTCAATACTGCAGTGTTGCAATGCTGCATACGCATTCCCATCCCATTTTCTTCAATTGTCTCCTCCCTCCACCCACCATCATCCTCCCATCGTATCATTGCGGCATCATGATAAATTAACGTGAGTTATACCCTGCAGCCCCAACCATCATCATCCCTATTCACCGATGACCCTCATCCGAGTACAATTAATTTGCCATTAAATAGCTTGACATAATTGAGTCTTACACTTTTCTATATTACCCGTAGAAGATAGAAAGAATGGATTCAATTTGCTCTTCATATCAATTTCATTCTCGTCAGTATAGACGCGAGGGCTTAAGGGGTTATGATTGTCGATATCTTCTAATTTTACAATTATTATTTTTTTTTTACAAGTTTCGGAGAATCGGTGGATGAAATGGACGTGAAAAAATATTGCCATTTTAAGATTTTCACTACGCAATGTCTCGCAAATTTTCTTCGCCGTGAAAAAATTTTCCTACGTTCCCAGCAAACTTTTGCGGAAATTCACAAAATTACCACAAATTTGGAAGAATAGACACAACGATGAAAATTTATGTGAGTTGTTGACTGATAACACCTAAAAACATACATTTTTTTACGACAATCTGATCGACGATGCCCCAGAAATTCATCGAAAAAATATAAAAACTGACAAGATATCAGCAACAACTCTTTAATTGAAATAACGTGAGTGAAATAGACAAGTATTATGGGATGTTTATCATTAAAATCAGTGAATTCAATTAATTTTTCATTCATTCATTTCTAATGAAAATCAAATGAAATCATTCCATTGACTGAAATTCGAACGGAAAAAATAATCCAACACATTCAATTCGTCAATCCTTCGGTAATTTTTTTCAATTGAGGTGAAAGAAGGGAATATTAGTTGTTGATGTTGGAATTAACCAAGATCTCCAAACTGGTGGTTCACCGTCTGTTCCAGTGTGCAGATGAGCCAGTGACATCAGGCTTCAAAACATTCATCAAGGCAGACAAGAGTGTGTTTGAAAAATATGTGACCAAGAAAACGCGTGCCACCTGCCCCGTTCCTATACTGACGTCCGCAGCATCCCGTCCAGTCCGGGCGTTCGACATCAGAGGATGAGGGCATGATATGCCTCAAAAGAAGACAAAAAAATGAGCAACAAGCTGTGCGACAGAAGCTTTATAGCCGCTGTCATGTGACGACCCCTCAACATGTCTTTTTTTCTCCTCAAGAAACTATTAATTCTATTAGTGGATTACGCAGAAGATTCAAAAATTTACAAAGCTTTCGTTCTGAAGCAAAAAATGAAAAACGCGAAAGAATTATGTCGAGAAAATGGGAGTATAATACTTACATTAATACATCCGCGCAGTCATCTTCATCCTGCATTCTTCCCCAATTGTAAAAAAAATCATAGGAGTGAGGATATCATTCTGCTGGGCGAATAATTTGCAGCTCACGTCGGAAATTGCTGCATTTGGAAGGGAATGTTCTCGGTTCCCTAACCTGCTCTCTGCACACTTCGGAAAATGACTGTCAAAAATGTACGCGATTAATTCGAATCTGGTGCATATCAAACAATAATATACAATAATACTAGCCGTCAAAGATGAAATAATTATGTCGTCGGCAGTCAAAAGCCTCTATTTTCATAAAAAATCACCCATTTTCAGAGTTTCGTTGAAGGCAAGTTGGTTAGGAGCAAATGGGTTGTATGAATTAATTTCCTAATTAAAAAATATCTCACTGGCATGGGCATTGTCCACAATATACAGATTCTGAGAGAAAATCCCACTTTTATCCAGTCGAATTCTTTATTTGTATTCACTCAGGGAGTGGAACTTTCGAAAAATAAACAAGCAGCGTAGAACGAATAAAAACTATGATCATACCAAATTTCAACTTATTTTTTCATTTCACGGTATCAAAATTTCGCATCAAACTATTCAGTATAGGACACCGACAATATTCTTCAAAAACGAAAAAATGGCAATATCATATACATATTTTAAATGCTCGATATGACGAATAAGACGATATGACGAATAAGATATGACGAAGAAGCCCATTAAGACGAATATTTTGAGAAAAAACAAATGGCAATCCATTGAGTGATTCATGTGCTTTCATAACATTCTATACAACTTGCTATTGAAATTAGAAAATCAAAAAATCGGTCAAATTGCATTCGAAAGAGAAAGGGAAAGAACAGAATAATTTTCACAACAGCTCGTGCGAAAGACAAATTTTATTTATTTTTCTTGAAATGAGGAAGATAACTCATTAGCAAAACGTAACGTGACATTAAAAATGTTAACTCACTTCACTGGCATGATCAATGAAGAAGAATAATCAATTTACTCCAGCTCAATTGATTCGAAGGATGAAGAAGAAGGATTTCTTTCGATAGTCTGCTGAATCCAAGTCATGTACTTTCTCACCTTAAGAAATGTCCCCAATATCGCATCACTCGGTATAAAACTTAAATCTGTTAGAATAGCAATGACTTCTGAATTTGATGAATCTGTCTGGGCAAGAATCGGTGTACCTCTATTTTCCTAATAAATCAAATAATAATTATAATGCTAAAAACAAAGATTATTCAATAGAGCCAATTGTTCTCACCAGACATCGCGTCAACCTCAGCCGCCCACATGAATAAATATCTGGCAAAACTGCTGTGTAGTGGGTATCCTCCTTTTTACCATGCCGATCAAGGGTGACATTTGACACATGTAAAACGAGTGGTTGCGGGGTAAGGTAAGTAGGTCGAGTCCATCCGACATATTTATAAGGACGACGATTAAGTAGAGAGGTGAGCCCTTCTCCACTTTGCTTGAACGAAGCTGGACGAAGACGATGTCTCAAGAGGAAAGGATTGACCAGCTATGTGTTCAAAGAATGAGGAAGGAAATCATAATTGGTAATGGTGAATAATTCCAGGATTTATAATTTACGCAGGCTGTCTCACAATAACGAAATCATACCAAATAACTGAAAATTATTTCAATTAAATGTTAAATTGAGTACCGTTATGACAGCAATATCATCTATGGTGTATGAACCACTTCTGCCTTGCATTCCAATTTGGCGGTATGATGGATGAGTGACATATGATTTAACAGAGTATTGCATTTCATTAAAATATGGAAACATCATGTCTTTGACAAGTACAATTAGCAAATCAGGTGGAATTCCCTGCACACAACCAGTAGTTGTGATAACATGCTTTGAATCGTAGATAATGCCACCGCAATGGAGCTTCTCGTTAAACCATATGGATACAAGGAATGGAAGGTTAGAGGAGTCTATCGGCTCACTTCTAGCATCTTAAAAGTAACCAATTAATTAGGCAATAATCTGATTATTTATTATTAATGATTATTTATATATTATACAATCACGTTTACACTTACGGTGAGAAATACGAAGAAGCAGCAATATCATGAAGCACAATGAATTGGTCTTCATTACGAAACTCAAGATGTAGTTGAGAAGAAAAACAGATGCAAATCACTTTGGTGTATTCACGCTTTATGGTCTAAAATATCTTCGTTGTACAATGCAATGTACAAAAGCTAAAGCTCTTCTATACGAAAAGTCCACAGCAATACGGAAATGGTTGTAAAGAATATTTTACCTTATCATTTTTTACTACTATACTTGTTCTCACAATTTCCGAAAAATCATAAAGATTACCGGAGATCGGGGCATTCCGAATGTGACGATGAGTATAGTGACACAATTGAGAATATTGCTGCAAATGGGATCTTGGAATTTTCGCCTCAAAACATCTAAGTAACTTAATCGTCTTCTCTTCGAACTCCACAAAGGATACTGCAACAAATCAATTAAGTGTGGGTGAAATGTAAGTGACAAATTGTCTTTGGAATAATAGTCAAAAAACTTTTTGGTCACATATATGCATACGCACGGATATTTTTTGAAAAAAATATAAAAAATGAGAAGATATCAGCAACAACTCTTTAAATGAAATAATGTGAGTGGAATAGATGAGTATTATCCGATTTTCATCACTAAAATCATTGAATTCAATGAATTTTTAATTCATTCATTTCTAATGGTGTCACATAATTACATGAGAATTTATGTAAATCAAATAAAAGCATTCCATTGACTGAAATTCGAACGGAAAAAATAATCCAACACATTCAATTCGTGAATCCTTCGGTGATTTTTTTCAGTTGAGGTGAAAGAAGGGAATGTTAGTTGTTGATGTTGGAATTAACTAACATCTCCAAACTGGTGGTTCACCGTCTGTCCCAGTTAGTCATAGTGCAGATGAGCCAGTGGCATCAGGCTTCAATGTATTCATCAAGGCAGACAAGAGTGTGTTTGAAAAATATGTGACCAAGAAAACGCGTGCCACCAGCCCTGTTCCTATACGGTCGTCCGCAGCATCCCGTCCATTCCGCGCGTTCGATATCAGAGGATGAGGGTATGATATGCCTCAAAAGAAGACAAAAAAATGATCAACAAACTTAGCGACAGAAGCTTTATGCCGCTTTCATGTGGCGACCCCTCAACATGTATTTTTTTCTCCTCAAGAATCTACCAATTCTATTAGTGGATTCCGCAGAATATTCGAAAACTTACAAAGCTTTTGGTCTCAAGCAAAAAATGAAGAACGCGAGAGAATTGTTTCGAGAAAATGGGAGTATAATACTTACATTAATACATCCGCGCAGTCATCTTCATCCTGCATTCTTTCCCGATTGTAAAAAAAATCATAGCAGTGAGGATATCATTTTTCTGGGCGAATAATGTGCAGCTCACGACGGAAATTGCTGCATTTCGAGGGGAATGTTCTTGATTTCCTAACCTGCTGTCTCTGCACACTTCGCAAAATGAGTGTTCAAAATGTACGCGATTAATTCCAATCTGGAGCACATCAAACAATAATATACAATAATAATAGCCGTCAAAAATGAAATAATTATGTCGTCGGCAGTCAAAAGCCTCTATTTTCATAAAAAATCACCCATTTTCAGAGTTTCTTTGAAGGCAAGTTGGTTAGGAGCAAATGGATTATGTGAGTTGATTTGCTCATTAAAAAATGTCTCAATCCCATGGGCGTTGTGCACAATATACAGATTCTAAAAGAAAATCCCACTTTTATCCAGTCGAATTCTTTATTCGTATTCACTCAGAAAGTGGAACTTTCCGAAAAGGAACAAGCAGCGTAGAACGAATAAAAGCTACGATCATACCAAATTTCAACTCATTTTTTCATTTCACGGTATCAAAATTTTGCATCAAACTATTCAGTATAGGACACCGACAATATTCTTAAGAAACGAAAAAAGGCAATATCATATACATATTTTTAATGCTCGATATAACGAATAAGACGATATGACGAATAAGATATGACGAACAAGCCCATTAAGATGAATATTTTGAGAAAAAACAAATGGCAATCCATTGGGTGCTTCATGTGCGTTCATAAAATTCTCGACAACTTGCTATTGAAATTAGAAAATCAAAAAATCGGTCAAATTGCATTCGAAAGAGAAAGGGAAAGAACAGAATAATTTTCACAACAGCTCGTGCGAAAGACAAATTTTATTTATTTTTCTTGAAATGAGGAAGATAACTCATTAGCAAAACATAACGTGACATTAAAAATGTTAACGCACTTCACTGGCATGATCAATGAAGAAGAATAATCAATTTACTCCAGCTCAATTGATTCGAAGGATGAAGAAGAAGGATTTCTTTCGATAGTCTGCTGAATCCAAGTCATGTACTTCCTCACCTTAAGAAATGTCCCCAATATCGTATCATTCGATATTAAACTTACATCTGTTAGAATAGCGACGACTTTTGAATCGTCCTGGGCAAAAATCGGTGTACCTCTATTTCTCTAATAAATTAAATAATAATTATAATAATGCTGAAAACAAAGATTATTAAATAGAGCCAATTGTTCTCACCTGACATTGCATCAACCTGTCCCGCCCACGTGAATAAATATCTGGCAAAACTGCTGTGTAGTAGGTATCCTCCTGTTGACCATGCCGATCAAGGGTGACATCTGACTCATGTAAAGCGTGCTTGAGTGGTTGCTGGGAAATGTAGGCAGGTTGAATCCATCCGACATATTTATAATAACGACGATGAAATAGAGAGATAACTTCTCTACTTTGCTTGAACGAAGCTGGATCAGAACGATGAGTGAAGACGAAAGGCGGATCCACCTATTTGTTTGAAGAATGAGAAAGGAAATCATTATTAGTAATGGTGAACAATTCCAAGATTTATAATTTACGCAAGCTGTCTCACAATATCGAGATCATGCCAAAGAACTGAAATTGATTTCAATTAAATGTTAAATTGAATACCGTTATGACAGCAATATCATGTCTGGTGTATGAACCACTTTTGCCCTGCATTCCGATTTGGCTGTATGATGGATGAGTGACATAAGATTTAACAGAGTAATGCATTTGAAAAAATGGAGACATCAAGCCCACGGCACGTATACGTAGCAAATCAGGTGAAATTCCCTGCACACAGGTAGTAGTTGTGATAACATGAATTGAATCGTAGATAAGGCCACTGCAGTGGGGCTTCTCATTCAACGATATAGATGCAATGAATGGAAGGTCAGAAGGGTCTATCCACTCACTTCTAGCATCTTAAAAGTAACCAATTAATTAAGCAATAATCTGATTATTTATTATTAATGATTATACAATCACGTTTACA